GTTTTCCACATATGTCACCTGAAACATCATTAAAATAAACAACATTAACTACATTTACCTAAAAATACAAAAAAAAAAGTTCATGGGATTTAAGAATTCAACATAGTAGCCAATGTTATCACTTTAACTACTCCAACTGCTCACAAGTTCAATCAAATTATTCCAATATCCCTTATGCATGGCCAGGAATGGTGGTAAAGAGCCAAACCTCAAACCCAATTGACAAGGATCAAAGCATTACAAATAATCCTTCTTCGAGGATAAGTAATAGATTATGAATAAATTAAAAAAATGAAGATGTTTTGATTCACTACATCTATGCAAGGTTCAAATAAAAAGAAAAGGACAATCAATTAGACATGTTCTGAATCGCCATTATGATTCGAACCGATAGGTAAGAACTTCATAGGAAGTGAGAGACGCAGGCAGCCATGCAACTTGCCCTTCTGAGCTTATTATTTGTACCCAGGAATGCAAGAAAGAGAAAGAAGCACAAAGAGACTAGATTGGACAGAAATTTGCGCCCTTTGAAAAAAAAAGAGAATTTTAAAGTTTAAAATTTAACATCCAAATGTTAATATCCAAACCCATGATTGGAGAATAAGTCAACACATTATGTGGTAATATGTCAGTACAATCAACACAGCTTTCAAACTTAAATTAGGGATGAAAAATTAAAGATGCAAAATATAATGGAAACATAGTTTTGTTAGTTTACTAATTATACATTAACAAATAAGCTGAAATCCACAAAACATCCAAAAGTATTACACCTCAAAAAAACCATCCCACATAATTCAGGATAAATGTAACTCAATATTCTACATATTACATTTATTCAGCTAATTCTAGAGTTCCTGGTGTTGTACCACTAGTAGCCACAACACCTCCTCTGCTTCTTAGATCCACCTCTTCCATGACAATAAAAAACCATCTCAAATCAGAGATAATGAATTTGAGGAACAAATAAGATCAAATTTAGTGAAAAGTGAACAAATTAGAAAACTCACCCAGGAGCGAAGTGATTGAGCCACAAAATGGTTGAACCGAGGATAACAAGGACAAAGGAGATGAGAAACCTGGGATTGAAGATTCTTTCGTTCCTTTAGCCCTGGTTTCTTTTCTTTTGTAAAAGCAAATCAGAAGACCTGGACTTTCGCTTCTCTGCCTGGCTTCGTTGCTTTCACAGAAGAAAAATCAGACGCCTCCTTTTGTCTCTAGCACTCTAGCCCTGGCTTCTTAGTTCTTACGTAAAAGCAAAAACTAGACACGAGATAGAACTCTCTTGTGTTAAACGAAATTGGTTGGAGGTTGAGGAAGGACTTGGTGTGCAATAATCGAATTTTTTAATAAAAGTATGAGCTGGATTCCATTACCAATAAGGTGCTGCCAAGTGTGAAATGAACCAAAACATCCCCTAATGAATATGCACCATAAAATTTTCCTAATTAATAACCTACATATTTGCATCGCTTTTTTCCTCTTTAATAAAAATGTTTTTAAGTTTATTACATCTATTAGGCCCCAACATATTGAAGAATCACTTGAAACTCAAAAACAAGTGTTATGCATTGATTTAGAAGAATATTTACATTATTACCAAACAAAATAACTATTCACCTCGTGCAATGCACGACTGAAAAACTAGGTGTCTGTTTACTAACAATGTTATTTTCCAGTTTTTCAGAAAACTGGAAAACTGGAAAAAGAAAAACAGAAAACGTGTTTACAAAAAAAATACCGGAAAACTAGAGAAGACAAAACAAAAAATAGCATTTACCAAATTGTTTTCCAAAATCAAAAAATGAGATATGTCTTCGTTTTCCTTAATGATTGGAAAAGTGACTTTTACTAGTTTTCTGAATTTGGAAATCGCGGATGCCGCAATGTTGTTGCAATGAATCTACATACTTACGTCTAGTGTTGGATCCGGTCTTGCTCCTATGTCAGTACCAGTCCGGTCCAGTCAACAACCTGACGGTCCCTATTTGGTCCGGTCAATGACCCAACGGTCCGGTCAATGACCTGACTGAAGGATCGATCCCACAGTCGGGAGGCAGCCTACCGATATTGTCCGCTTTGGGTTGCCCCTCACGGATTTAAAACGCGTCGATAGTGGTGAAGAGCCCAGGCCTTATAAGGTACCAAGGACTCTCCTAGCCCACCGGTGTGGGATTCTTTGGCATTCCTACCGAAGAGGCGGGTTTAAGATGCGCGAGTTTCCCCGGCTCAAGGGACTGGTAGGCCCATACCTAACAATCCCCCCCACACACCGGTGCTACCCCTGGCTCTGATACCAATTGAAGGATCGATCCCACAGCCGAGAGGCAGCCTACCGATATTGTCCGCTTTGGGTTGCCCCTCACGGATTTAAAACGCGTCGATAGTGGTGAAGAGCCTAGGCCTTATAAGGTACCAAGGACTCTCCTAGCCCACCGGTGTGGGATTCTTTGGCATTCCTACCGAAGAGGCGAGTTTAAGATGCGCGAGTTTCCCCGGCTCAAGGGACTGATAGGCCCATACCTAACACTGACGGTCTGGTCCGGTCATTGAACCGGTGGTCCATGTCCGGTCCGCTCGACGGTCGATCAATCCCAGTCCAGTCCGGTCGACGATCTGACTGTCCAGGTCCGGTTGACGATCCAGCGGTCCCTGTCCGGTCTATGACCCGACGGTCTGATCATGTCATTGAACCGGCAGTCCATGTCCGGTTGACGACCGAGCAATCCCGGTCCAGTCGAGTCAATGACCCGATGGTCCAGATTCTGTTGATGACCCAGTGGTCCCTGTCCGCTCTGGTCGACGACCCCACGGCCCATGTCATGTCCAGTCCACGACGCGGCGACCCCTGTCCAGTCCGATCCACAACCACGCGGTACTTGTTCGGTTCAATCGACAGTCGGGCAGCCCTGATCCGATCCGGTCTAGTCAACGAATCGGCGGTCCCCGTCCGATGCTGTAACACCCTAAAACCGGGCCTAGTTATTTATGGAGTTTGAGGTATTATTGAATATTAAAAAAAATATAGGGCAAACTAAATAAATAAAATACAATTTAAAATTTTAATTAAGTATTACAAAAATTTAAGGAAGTAAATGAATAAAAATGCTAGGAGGATATCGATGTGGTACACTAGTCTCAAACTAACAATGAATCACGTCGATAAATAGGTGTCTAATGTTACCTCCAAACCCCCTTTGCATGTTGTTTTGGGCACTAGCAAGAAAAATGACAAAATGAGATTTAAAAACTAAATTAATGAGATAATAATGGGTCATACGTCACGTTCCGGGACCGGGCAGGGTCTGGGTCGGGTCTATATTTTTTTTAAATTTTAGTTTTTCAATTTATTCCTACCCCACACCCAAACACCCCCAAACCACCCAGCCCAACCCGTCTACAACCCAATCCATTCGAAAAAACATTTTGGGCCTAGACCGGTCTTCTTTTTCTGCGACCCGTAGCCCGTCCCAACCCCCAACCCCCCGGTTGGGGCCCAAGACCCGGTCCCAGGTCTGGTCAGCCAGGCCGATCCGGTACCGCACAATGGCGGTCCGGGCCGGGTTCCGAGCCAGTCAGAATCGGACCGGTCCACCCCTAGTCATAAAATCAGGTGAAGGAATTGTATGAACATATAGTTTTTAAATTTGAAAATGGAAAACTAAAAAATGAAAACAAAAAATTAGAGATACAAAAATAAAAAAATGAAAAACAGAAAATTGAAAAACCAAAATGAGAAATAGAAAACTGGAAAATATCTGTATAAAGAGACAACGTTAGTATGTTACTTTGAAAACCACACTCCACTAGTCCATTTTCAATTATTCAAGAAAGTGATTTATCAAATATGAGGTGGAAAATCACTCCATCACACCCCCATCTGGATAAGATCACTCAGCCTTCATCCCAGTCTTCTCATTTGATCAATCCCCACTTCATAGTTCCCAGTTCCCACCCATCTCCTTCCTCAGTTCCTCCCCACAATTCTTAGTTGGTTCAACAATGGCTGCCACCACCATAGCCACAACTGCCATGCTCAATGCCGGCGCCAAGACCAAAATCAGTACTGCGACCAAACCTTCATCATCCTCTAACCACCACCATGTAAAGCTAAAACCCATCTCACTCCTCTCCCTCCGAACCCTCCTCCCTAAACCTAAACGCCTCTCAGCCGCCGATCCATCTTCCCTCGCCGGAACCGCCGCGGCTGGTGCCTTCTTCTCCGCCATGGCCGCCGCCGATCCGGCTTTCGCGGCGCAGAAGATAGCGGATATAGCCGGAGCTGCCACCGGAGGAGACGACAAACGCGTGCTGGCCCTCTTGCTTCCCATCGTCCCGGCCTTGGCGTGGGTGCTCTTCAACATCCTCCAGCCAGGACTGAACCAGCTGAACCGGATGAGGAGCAGCAAGGGGGTCATTGTCGGGCTTGGTGGGCTGACGGCAGCCCAGTTCATTGGGCCGGACGCAGTTTTTGCTGCTGCCGGCGAAGTGGCGGAAGTGGCCGGCGGTTCGGAGGACAAAAGGGGTCTTCTGTTGCTGATAGTGGTGACTCCGGCGCTCCTCTGGGTGGCTTACAATATTTTGCAGCCAGCTTTGAATCAGATCAACCGGATGCGATCAGATCAATAATTGCTTGTTATTATTATGCGTTTATTATCATCAATATAATTAATTTTATATGCATCACATATCAACAATCAACTTTTCCTTTTTAGGCTGGTTGGCCATTCTTGAAAAACAGTGTGCCTGTACTGAGTAGATGTTTATATAATGTGGTTAGACTATTATTATTGATGTTTTAAAATACTATGTTTGTAAAATGATGCTTTAATCTAAGGGGTAAGGCAAAGACAGAAGCTTTAGGTGTCGAACAATGTTATACAGAAGCGTCAAAGACAACTATTAGACGATTTTATTTTTGGACAAAAAAACTACATAAACATTTTTATATAACACAAAGGGAGAAATGGGGAATCGCTAATAAAAACCTGGAAACCATTTGTGGAATAATTTTATCCAAAGTAAAAAAAACACATTAATGGGGGTGCAAGAATGTTAGTAACAAAGGCTCAAGGAACCAATGGGCTTTCATGAGAGGGTACTAGGGGATACAAACATTACTATTTACTAGTTTCTTTAACAATCTGGATAAAATTAGGCATGCTCTCAGAATCAACTTGGATTTGTTAAGCTGCTTTCTGCTTCGCCTGTTTACTAGTTTCTTTAACACACTGGAAAAAATCAGGCATGCTCTCAGAATCAACTTGGATTTGATTTGTTAAGCTGCTTTATGCTTGGCCTGTTTACTAGTTTCTTTAACACTCTGGACCAAAATAGGCTGCCTCTCAGGATTAACTTCATGTTACCACCTCGAATCGCTTAGACCTCCTTAAATTTGCATGCATGTTTGAGTTCTGTGCACCTGGAAAGCTGCTGAAAACACCAAATAGTAACTATAGATGTGGTTTTGATTGAGGAGTGAAATTAAAGGATGGTACTGCCAAAAGATTATACGCAGTAAATGAGAACAGAGAAAATCTACCTGAAAAAAAACGAACAAACCATAAATGCTGCTTAGTAATTAAGCAAGTTCCACCCCCAACCCACCCCGTGAAGTGCAACAAGAATTCAGTAAAATATGAAGGTTTACCTGGATTTTAAATTACTCTCCCCAAGACTGTTGTTGTCTTTAACACTCTGGACCAAAATAGGTTGGCTCTCAGGATCACTTTCGAGTTGTTTAGCAGCTTTCTGCTTGGCCACCTTGAATCGTTTAGACCTTCTCAGAATCGCATCCATGGTTAAGTTCTTCACACCTGAAAGGCTGTTGAAAACACCAAAGAGCTACTATTGAAGTGGTTTTAATTGAGGTGTGAAATTAAAGGATGGTACCACGAACAGATTATAAACGAGAACAGACAATACTACATGAAAAAAATTAACATACCACAAATACTGCTTGGTAGATTAAGCAAGTTCCACCTCACCCCACCCCACCCCATAAAGAGCAGGCAAGAACTCACTAAAATATGAAAGCGTACCTGGATTTTAAATTACTCTCCCCATGACTGTTGTTCTCTTTGACACCATCGGGTCCTAACAACCAAAATGGAAAAATGAAAGAAATAAATCATGTTTTTAAATTACTCTCCCCATCACATTCTTTTTAAGTTAAATTATGGGGTGCAAACACAATGCACTTGGAGGGGGGGGGGGGGGCTGGGTTGCAATGTCAAAGAAATATGAATTGCAAAATCAAACATTCTGGTAAACATGGATTAAAATGCCAAATTTCCCAAAACTAAAATGAACTCCAATAAAAAAGTATTCACAAGGGAGCAATAAAGCACAGCCCCGTGCGTGAGGGCATCCCGTATGGAAAGGGTCCAGGGAAGGGGCCCCTCCCAAGACTTGAACGCGTGATCTCTAGGTCACATGTCAGCACCTTAACCGGTAAGAGGGAAATGAAAAAATTAAAATTTGCTCATACCATTTTTGGTTGAATGATGACTTGATTCACTTCCATCGACTGAGGATGATGATGAATCACTAGATGGAGTCTGAGTGGGGAATTTAGAATGTACATCCCCATTTTCGTTCTTGCCATCAAGATGTGATATCTTATCCTTAGGAGCAACACTGTGTGTTGGGTTAACCTCTGTGGTTTTCCTGGCATCTGATTGACTAGCTAAACTTCGGTGATTAGAGTGGGGCTGTGAGCTATCCTTTATAGATCCATTAAACTTTTGAGAACTGATTGGTGTTGAGCTTGATTCATCCAAAGTTAATTTATTTTCAGACACGCTAGCAAAAACACCTTTCTTGCTATGTGGACCATGAAGTATTGGCTTTTCAGCCTGGTGAAAAGTATTGCTTCCATTTATATCAGTTTCTGATATTTTTGGGGATTTCTTATTGGAGTGAAGTTTAACCTTCTCATGTTTGTCATATTTTGCCTTTCCAAGTTCAGTGCAACCACTACTACGGTTGTTTTCATCATTCAGATTCTCATCATGAGCTGGTGTATTCCCCAAGCCTCCTGGAATGGAAGGAACAGTACCATTTGCAGATTTCTCCCCAGTTGCTGTAGTATCCATACTCAATGTCACTGCTTTTTCCACTTTGTCAGAAGCACCTTTAGTCTTTTGTGAACTAGGAACAAAGTAACGTCTGAAGTTAATACCTTCACCATCTTCAGTACTACTCACTTCACCTTGTAGCACAATCTCTCTATTACCCTCAAGATTTCCGCAGGCTTGTCCACTATTGACTTCACTTTCTGGAATCTCTACATCAGCAACTGAAACTTGGCGAATATGATCAGCTATGGCTGTTCCTGATACCTCAGCGACATTAGGTGGATGGTCAACTACCAATATTTGATCATTTGAAGGTACCATTTTTTCCGCACAAACTTCATGATCACTCTTAGCCAAAATTGCAAGGCTCTCTCCAGCAGTATTGTTATTCCTTTTAGATTTTATATTTTCTTTCTCATCTTTATTTTGTGCATCCAGATGACTAGTACCAGTTCGAATATCCTGCTCACTTAATCCGTTATTGGCACGAAGATGTTCTGCCTCACTCTCAGTGACTTTGTCAATTTCCATACCAGACCTTGCAGCACAAATATCAATTGGTTGTTTATTGGATGAAAGTTCTATCTCCATGCAATGCAAGAGGTTCAGGTTATTAGATCTATCAGTGAGATGGTCAGAAGTGGGAAGACCTGAAGGAACATCTGAAGGGTCCATAGGGGAAGAATCTTGATTAGTTGTACGAGACTTCTTTGACTTTCTCTTTTTTTTACTTCCAGCAGGGCTTCCATGTTTCTCAGTGGCATTGGCATCAGATAGCTGAGCTTCATAGACTGTTTCTGGTTGCTCTGAATTCAAATCTGGCAAGTCACGAATGAGAGAGATGTGGCTTGCTGATTCCATGTCTACATATTTTTCAGAAGGCTCCTCCTCGAATGGTTTAATGGTCTGGTGAGTTTGACTGTGAGGCCTCAAGTGTTCAACTTTGGTAGTATTGTCAGTCACAGGTTCACTCAAAGTTGGTACACGCCTTGGATCGGTATTTCCTGTATTTGGCTCAAATGGATCCTTCACATTGATCTTCTTGGACTTCTTTTTCTTAAGCCTCTTACCATGTTCTGTCACACCCTTGTTAGTAATTTCTGCTCCACTGTTTTCCAGAATGCTTTCACTGTTGGTCGGAGATGTCCTTTTTGTTAGGACTTCTTTATAGACTGTTTCTGGTTGCTCTAGATGACTAGTACCAGTTTGAACATCCTGCTTATTAAATCTGTCATTGGCAGGAAGATGTCCTGCCTCACTCTCATTGACTTTATCAATTTCCATACCAGACCTTGCAGCACAAATATCAATTGGTTGTTTATTGGATGAAAGTTCTATCTCCATGCAATGCAAGAGGTTCAGGTTATTAGATCCATCAGTGAGATGGTCAGAAGTGGGAAGACCTGAAGGAACATCTGAAGGGTCCATAGGTGAAGAATCTTGATTAGTTGTACGAGACTTCTTTGACTTTCTCTTTTTTTTACTTCCAGCAGGGCTTCCATGTTTCTCAGTGGCATTGGCATCAGATAGCTGAGCTTTATAGACTGTTTCTGGTTGCTCTGAATTCAAATCTGGCAAGTCACGAATGAGAGAGATGTGGCTTGCTGATTGCATGTCTACATATTTTTCAGAAGGCTCCTCCTCGAATGGTTTAATGGTCTGGCGAGTTTGACTGTGAGACCTCAAGTGTTCAACTTTGGTAGTATTGTCAGTCACAGGTTCACTCAAAGTTGGTACATGCCTTGGATCGGTATTTCCTGTATTTGGCTCAAATGGATCCTTCACATTGATCTTCTTGGACTTCTTTTTCTTAAGCCTCTTACCATGTTCTGTCACACCCTTGTTAGTAATTTCTGCTTCACTGTTTTCCAGAATGCTTTCACTGTTGGTCGGAGATGTCCTTTTTGTTAGGACTTCTTTATAGACTGTTTCTGGTTGCTCTAGATGACTCGTACCAGTTTGAACATCCTGCTTATTAAATCCGTCATTGGCAGGAAGATGTCCTGCCTCACTCTCATTGACTTTATCAATTTCCTTACGAGAGCTTGCAGCAGAAGTATCAATAGGTATTTTATTTGACGGATTCTTTACTTCCATGCAATGCGAGAGGTTCTGGTTATTACATCCATCAGTGAAATGGTCAACAGTGGGAAGACCTGAAGGAACATCTGAAGGATCCACAGTGAAAGAATCTTGATTAGTTATACGAGACTTCTTTGACTTTCTCTTCTTTTTAGTTCCAGCAGGGCTTCCATGTTTTTCAGTGGCATTGGCATCAGAGAGCTTAGCTTTATAGAATGTTTCGGGTTGCTCCAGATGACTGGTACCAGTTTGAATATTCTGCTCATTAAATCCGCCATTGGGACGAAGAAGTCCTGCCTCACTTGCATTGTCTTTATCAATTTCCACATGAGAGCATGCAGCAGAAGTATCAATTGGTTGTTTATTCGACGGATTTTCTATTTCTATGCAATGTGGGAGTTTCTGGTTATTAGATCCATCAGTGAAATGGACAACTGTGGGAAGACCTGAAGGAACATCTGAAGGGTCAATATTGAAAGAATCTTGATAAGTGGTACGAGACTTCTTCGACTTTCTCTTCTTACCAGCAGGGCTTCCATGTTTTTCAGTGGCATTGGCATCAGAGAGCTGAGCATTATGAACTGTTTCTGGTTGCTCAGAGTTCAAATCTGCCATGTCAAGAATGAGAGAGATGTGGCTTTCTGATTGCATATCTACATGTTTTTCAGATGGTTCCTCCTTCAATGCTTTAATGGTCTGACAAGTTTGACTGTGTGGCCTCAAGTGTTCAACTTTGGCAGTATTGTCATTCACAGGTTCACTAAACTTTGGTACAAGTGTTTGATCATTATTTCCTGTATTTGGCTCAAATGGATGCTTCACACTCATCTTCTTGGACTTCTTTTTCTTAGGTCTCTTATCATGATCTGTCTCCCCCTTGTTACTAAGACCTGCTTCATTGTTTTCCCGAATTGTTTCATTGTTGGTCCGTGATATCCTTTCATCATTCTCATTCATTTTATCTACATTCACATTGGCCATCATTTTGTCACTTTTCTTAGTCTTAAATTGATCCTTCGCCCTGATCTTCTTGGACTTCTTTTTTTTAGACCTCTTATCATCATCTCTCCCACCCTTGTTAGTAAGATCTGCTTCATTGTTTTCCAGAACGCTTACATTGGTGGTTCGAGATATCCTCTCATCATTCTCATTCATTTTGTCTCCATCTGCTTCCACATTGGCCATCATCTTTTCACTTTTCTCAGTCTCAAATTGATCCTTCGCCTCGATCTTCTTGGACTTCTTCTTTTTAGGCCTCTTACCATCATCTCTCCCAGATCGAGTGTTATCAGAAGGCATTAAGGAAAGTTTTGATTTTCTATCATTGGACTTTGCTGACGTTTCGTTTCCCACCATCTGGAATTTCTGTGAACCATCATCACCACCTGTAAGAGATGGTTCTTCACTATGTTTCAATTTCCGCCTTTTAGTCACAGGTTTTTGCTTTGAACTATCCCCAGAATTGTGATCCCGTAGACCATGGCTAACTGTCTTCACTTGAGCAATTGATACTATATTCTTATAAGCTGAGCTCCGGCAAGTATCAGAGGGAAAATATCTACAGTGCTCATCTTTCGCATGTTCAGTGTCCATGCGCAAGTCTATTGAAGGATCATACAGAACATTTTGGTCATAACTTTTTGTGTGAAGTGACCCTATGTGGTCGTTACAAGCTCCGTTCAGGGCCTGATCAACTGAAACAGAACCAATGACATAAATAAACCAATCTCTTTTAATGCCTTCAAATACAGTTGCTATAGGCATGGAATCAGGTAGGTGATAGAAATTGCCTTTCCGTTTTACCTGTCATCAAAATTTCAATAAAAACACAAAGAGATAGAAAAAGAAAATCTAAAAAGTAAAAAAACATGAGGAAAAAGCAGACCTGGACAGAGTGAATCTTTATCTCTCCCATATGAGGAAAAGCATCCAAGTGTTCTACCAATATCTCCTCTGCATCCCAGAAACACAAAAGGAGAAATCTTTAAGATCAAATCAGCAAATTTTTACTCGTAAGAGAAATCAAACGACCTCATGGATAAAGATGGTCTTCTTTCAATGAATAGAATATCTCTATTCAACAATAAATCCCAAATTAAAAATTCTTGACAAAACGCAAAGATTAAAGAAACATAAACTGGGACGATAAGCTAGTTTCTTAATCAATCTAACGTGTACCTAACGACTTACTTTTGATATAGGAAACGGTATCAGTGCTGGATACCATTACTGCAAGGTGAGTATCGAGGTTGGTATCAATATAAACTGTACGGTGCCGCGCCTCTGGAGCGGCAACGACTATGGCGCCGTCATCGGAATCTGCCTCCTCCCGACGTCGTTTCACCATTGAACAGAAGGCTACTGGTTCTATTGGGCTGCCAATCACACTATTGCAAAGGTTTTTATGGGGTTTTGGCGGTCGGTATCCGCTCGACCTAATATGTTTTTACTTCCCTTCACAAAAAAATGTTTATTTCACTCCTTTCGACCCCTACCCATCTTCCTTCTTTAACCTTTGACATGTTATTACTTGTTTAAGACTTCAAGGGCGCTTGGAGGGTTTTGAAATTTGAAGCATGATAGGAATCACAATGTATTTTGAGAAGTTTGATCTCTCACGGCTTCTATGAGTAAATTAGAGCATGAGTAAATTAGAACATGAGTAAATTAGAGCATGAGAGTACTTTTGCACTTTCGGCCAAACACTTCAACTTCTCCTTCTGCTTTTTGAAGAAGTATAAGCAGAATCAGAATCAGTTTTTCAGAAGTTCATCTCTCTCAGTTTCTAAAAAATTGCTTCTATGAGTAACACCCCCTAAAAAACTGCTTCTAAATTACGGAGTACATGCTTTTGCTATTTTAAATTACAAACAGTAATAAAAAAGAATAAAAACTAATTACAAAGTTGATAGTGTAGCTGATTTCACTTATTTGGTTGATGCATTTTGTTTTAGTCGTGAATATGTGATGGATAGTCTACCCGGGGGTATATATCCGAAGGGTTATTGCGGGCAATAACCTAGAAAGAAGTCAGAGTAAACAAGTAAATGTAGAGAGAGAGTGTATTCAGTATGAATGCCATTTTCAGCGTGGTTACAAATGGGGAAATGGGGTGCTATTTATAGTAGCAATAAATGTCGGGCAGGGACACGTGTCAAGCGCTCATTGGCCGAGGGGTCACCTCAACTGGTTGGCGCTGGCAGCCGCATGTGGCCGCATTTAATGCGGCTGTTGGACGGGACGTCTGTGCGGGGTACGGTGATCTGTACGCATGTGAGGCGGATATCTTGTCGAGTGAGATGCCTTCGGCTATAGAGCAGTAGCCGAGGGCTCTTCCACCCGATGGCACCCTGGTGCCGAGGGCTCACAGTGCCGAGGGCTACTGTTTTCACCGTTTTCTCCCAGTTTCTTAATTTGCTTGAGAAACCCGTTCTGTGAGAATTTGGAGCCTTCGGCCAGGGGGCCGAAGGCACCCCTGGCGCGTAGTGCGGACTGCCTGGTACTCTGGGCGCTGTGATTTGGGCCTGTTGGGCCTGTTGGGCCTTCGCTGGAGTAGTAGGAGTCTGTGGACCGGGGGTTCCCGGGCCATATACTCCATCAGGAGTCCCTCACTCCTTTTGCCGAAAGGTACTTGAGGGAAAAGGAGTAATTTGTGCTTGCCCTTTGATGTTGTCCCGTCGTGATCTCTGAAGTTGGTGAGGAGTTGTTGCTTTTATGTCCCTGCCGAAGGCAGTCCCTCAGTTACCCACATGTCGGGACTTGAGGGCTTGCTTTGTTGTTTGTTGGAATTTCACCAAATTTTGTAATTTAATGATTTTCCCGAGGGGGTCCTCCAGTCCCCCACTCCTTGAGGCACTTGTAAAGTGGTGAAAAGGAGTAGAGTAGTTGCGTTGCTGTTGTGGGCCGAAGGCTGACGTTTTTCGTTTCATTTTGGGGGGATGCCTCGTTAAAAACCTCATTAGGAAAAACCCTGTGGGAAAAAATCCTAATGAGGGAAAAAGAGTGCACCGAATTCCCCCAATGATGAATCGAAAATGTCAAACCTTGGTAAAAATGGAGAATAACGGGAATGCCGAAGGCTCTCTCTTCTGAGGGCTCCTGTGTTGATTGCCCGAAGGCTTGCTGTTGATGCCCTGGTGGCGCCGAAGGGGAGCCCCTCAATCCGTGGATCGAGGGCCTGCTGGATGAGGGCGGCAATGAAGTTGTTACCGGGGGGATCCACTGTTTGTTGATTAGTTGGTGGTGAAGATACCCGAGGGCCCCCATTACCTGTGTGCGACGAGTATCCGTCAATGAAGGCAACTCCCCGGGGGCTACCCGGTTTTGCAATGCTGGGGGGGAATTCCCGAGGGGTGCCCTGATATGAAGCCTTGGGTTTCTGAAGGAGTGATCCCGAAGGCGTCTGTTATGTGCTGTGTGGGGCGCAACCCGGGGGCACTTCTGAGTGAGTGTACCTGGAGGCTATCCTTGATGAAGTGGAGTGAAGTGGAAAACCCGGGGGCTTCCAGAATATAGCCGTTGGAAATATAGCCGTTGGAATATGTAACGACAGGCTATAGCCGTTGGGGGGGTGGCACACGTGGCGTGTGATGGCTGGCCGTTCGCGGGCGGCGTCACCGGTTGGGTGAAACGGCGGTGTGTAATGATGGCGGTCCGTCCGGAGGCCCGGTTTCCAGGCCCAAGCCCAGATTCCATCGCCTATAAATACCCCAAGGCCAGGCATTCCTCCGTGTGCGAAAACTTTGTTAGCGAAGCTCTGCCAATTTTTCTAGAGAGAGAAACAGCAGCCCTCGGTTGAATCCTCCGTTCTTAAGGTCAATTCTCCACTTGCCCTTCAGCTCTTAGCTACCTGTATTGTGCCCTTAGGCTAGGAGATAGGATATTCTAGGAAACCTTAGTTTTCCTGAGCCTTCGAACTAGTGAGCAGATGTCATCACAGAGCGACTCCCAGGATATCTCGGGGGAGCCTTCGGTAGAGATGGAGACATGCTCAGATGTGAAGTCGTCGAGCGTGGAGTCTTCGGCGGGTGGTGACGCCGCAGTGGCCATGGAGGTGGAGAAGGACCTCCAGGCCGAAGTCGAAGCCGAGGGCTTCGAACAAGAAAACGAGGACGAAGAGCTTGCCCTCGCCGTGCAGACCGCCGAGCAAGAAGAGGAGAGGGAAAGGCTGAAGGTGACTGTTGCCATCCCCCCCCCAACGGGGTGCCAGGGAAGCCAGCTCCTCCCGGCCATTGGACCCGACGCCCATAAGTGTGGCTCCCGGGAAGAAACACAAGACCAAGGCGGCCCCGAGGAAGAAGCAAGCGGCAGTGGATGCCGGGCGGCCGGTGGGCATACCCGAGGGCCATTCGTTCTTGAATACTGCCGCCCTAGAGCTGAAGACGAAGGCATCCCCGGCAGAATACCAGTCCACTCAGATGCTGGTTGGACCTTCAGCGCGCGTGGTGGAGCCCAGGGCGGATGATTTGCTGCGATACGCGCCCGAGGGGTGCTTTGCTGCTCACACCCTCTCGGTGGAGATGGGGCTCCGGTTCCCGCTCCATCCTTTTCTCTTGGAGTATCTGAGATTTGTTGGGTTGGCCCCTTGCCAGCTAACGCCCAACAGCCACTCCTACGTGGCCGGCTTCCTCTCCTTGTGTCAGAGCCGGGGGGTCGAGCCCACACTCGATCAATTCTTCATGTCCTTCAACCTTTGCCGGGGGGACATTCAAATGCTGAGGGCTTTGCCAACCTTCAGCAGGTACCGGAGTTCCGGCTTTTTGATGATGTGCCCTCGTCTCACAAGGGGTGGAAAGAGTGGTTCTGCTACATCCGCCTCGAGGAGAACCCCTTCCCGGCCCAGCTCCGTAATAGCTTCCGGCGCCATCCGAAGGTGGGGAGCGCAGCTTTGGAGAAGAACGGCAAGGTGCTTGCCAAGAAGCCGGAGGGGTCTGACAAGCACGTCAAGATCAGAGAAGTCACCCTTCCGGAGGATTTGCTTAGCCTGGGCTTCCGGCAGTTCAGGCCGAGGGGTTCTTCGGATGAGAGATACCCTCCCCTCGATAGGGTCTTCGAAGGCGCTGGAGGTGATCACCGAATTGTTCACTGATGCGTTGATAGTTCTCTCTTATTCCTCATTTTTTTTTCTTTGACGTAGTAACTGGTAGCCTTCGATCTAACCCTCCTGTTTTTTTTTGTTGCTTGCAGGTAACAATATGGACGTCGGTTCCCTCTTCGCTCTGAAAAACGCGAAAGGGAAGAAGAAGGCCCCGGCGGGCGCTTCTGCCAGGGATGGGCCCTCTCAAACTGCTGGCGCTGCTGCTGGCGCCGGAGGGTCCAAGGGTGCTGGGCCCAGCAAAAAGAAGGTTGCTGGAAAGGGGACCGAGCCCCCGGCCAAGAAGCCGAAGACCGCCGCCCCTACCAAACAACCGATCACCGATGTGGTGGTGATCGTGGACGAAGGGCACGCTTCTGCCTCCACCCCCAGGAACAAATCAATCAGGAGTTCTTTGGGCGGGAGAGGTTGGAGGCGATAGTGCCGAAGGGGGCCTCCGTGTTGGAGGGCAGTTTGAACCCTTCGGCTCTGATGAGCCAGATGCTGCCGTCGGCCGACCGACTGGCCCTTGCCCGGCTGGACGAGGGACCCCTCGAGGCGAAGGTCCTCCTGAATGCCGCCTCCGTAAGTCCCCCTCCCTTCTCTGCTCATTGTTATGTTTTTCTTCTGTACTATGTTCCTTATGCCTTATTTTTGCCTTCGTGAATTGCAGGCTTTCATGGGCCTCTGCGAGCACCTCCGAAGGGTGGATCAAATGAGGGAGGCCAAGGGTGCCGCCGAGGGGGAGGCTGCCCTTCTCAGGAAGAAACTTGCTGAAGCCGAGGACTCTCTACGGCTGGCCACCGACGGCATGGAGCAGAGGGTGCAGGCTGCAAGGGCCGAAGGGGTCAATGAGGGGCTAGCCAGGGCCGGGGAGGCCGCCGCCGAGGCCGCCCGTATTGCTGTCGATGATGCCCGCGTGGCTCAAGAAGAGGCCGTCTCCAAGGCCCGAGAGGATGCGGTGGCCAGCTTCATGGCCGAAGGGTGGAAGGCCGAAGACCGGAGGGAGTGGCTCACTTCGGTGGTGGGGGCTTCAGTAGACGAGTGGGTCGGGGGCCCCGGGAAGATGTGGCTTGCTGAGAGGGGTGACTCGTACTACCAAGGCGGGGAGTTCTTCACCCAACGCCTCATCTACCAGAAGCTTGCGAAGCACTTCCAGGTGGCACCAGAGGAGTTCCGTCCCGAGGCTTATGGCCTCCCCCCCCCCCAGCCAGATGTCAGGATCCCGCTCCCCGAGGGGGAAGAGAGACCGGTTCTTGAAGACTCGGAGACCCTCCGGGAGTGCGGCCTTGGCGGTGAAGAGGATGAAGCCGAGAGCGAGGCGATATCTATAGTTCCCCCCTCTTAAATTGTATTTCCCCCTTTTGGTGTTGTAATTTGTTGGCCTCGGCCCCCTTTGTAAAGCACAATCAAACTTCTTCTTTTTTTTTGAATGAATGAGTACACACGCCCTCGGGCCTTTGATATACAACCTGCTCC